TTGCCAGCCCCCCCACCCCTGCCCCGCCTCCGAAATTTTCTTTGGCTTAGCTGTAAATTAGCACCTGTTCATTTTATAATGGAAGGAACAGTGAGGGACACCAGCTGATTGATCGTCAGGTGTGGCCTAGCTGACTGTTTTGCAGAGCTGTGACATCAAGGCTTTGAGAGTCTCCGAAAGGGATAGCAGTCCAAATGTTGCCAGAGGGACAGTGATCAGACATGGTGGGGACTGTGGTCCAAAAACACCTAGAAGGCCACCAGTTGGTCACCCAGGTTTATGGGGTTGTTGTAATGGTTGCATCAAGAATGTGATGCACAGGACTGTGAGCATCGGTGTGTATTGTGTCCCCTCTTCTTCTCCTATCCAAAATCTTGTTTCCGACAGAAGGCAACCAGATGCCTCCAACAAGCACCCAAGTAAGGAGGAGATGTTGGACCTACTATACATTAGCATGGTTTGGATGCTTTATAGGGTTTGGGTGAAGATCTCATTATCTTAGGTTCCTTGTGCCACTGATGAAAGATTCAGGAATCAAAGGAATCACTTCCATCCTCCTGGATACATCCTATGCTTGTAATAACAAATTGTAAGGATCTCTTACAAGTTTCTTTAACCAATAGACTTGGCTGCAACCCTCTTTTTCCTGTTTCTTTCCATCACCATTGCCTGAACCCTCTTTCCAGCTGTTAGGAAATGAGATGCCAGTTCAAGCCATCTTTTATACACATGTCCTTCACCACAGTGTATGGATGCAACAAGCAAGCATTTGCTTTGCAAATACATGCATCACATCATCACGGTGCCACAGCTGGCTGAGAGACTGAGAGGCAGGACCCCTCTAAGGTGAACCTAGATTGCTGCCTTAGATAAGAGGCACAGGCAATATGGAACAAAAATGTAGCAGCTAAAATTAAAGTCCCTGCAAATTCGTGTTTTGCATTTTATATCCCAATTTTCTCCTGGGGAGCTCAAGCTATCATATGTGGCTTCTGTCCTTCCATTTTATCCTCCCAGAAAGTAACTCAGCATGGTCAGATTGAGAGATAGTGGCAGTCCCCAAAATACTCAGTGGTTTCAAGGACTAGGTGAGACTTGGTTTTTTTAACCTTAGTTTGTAGAATAAGCCGTATTTACCAACTGTAATGCTTGGAGTCAGAGAACAGGCCGAGCCAGTCACAGTCTCTGTTAGTTCATGATGGATGAAGCCAACCAAAGCACATTTGGCATTAAAGCTCCCTGAAGAAACTGGGTAGGAAGAGGATTGATGCTTTTGAACTTTGGTGTTGGAGAAGATCCTGACCAGGTTAAGAACAGAATGCCCTGGAGAAAATCTAAGTGGTCGACAGTAGTCAATAACAACTTGGTGGCACACAGTCATTCAATCACTCAAGTAATCGAGTGCTAGTGATGGACTTTGAGGAATACAGTCAGAAGCTGGCTTAGCCTGTCCCACAATTAACATGGCTTTGCACAACTTAAGTGGAGTCTTATACATACCAGCAAAAATCAAGCAAGATCTATCTTTCAGTGGACTTCCAGAAGCAACTTGTCTTAATGTGTAGCAGCGCAGGAGACCTACAGCATGCAGGAAACTCTTGAGTTGATTGCTTTATACAGCTTTCTCTGCATTGGGTGTATATGTTTAATGCCATATAATTCAAACCTTTTCTCCTGTTTTAAGTTTGTAACAATAACATGTTGAACATGCCTTGTCCTGGGAAAAAAACACCATTCAGCTTGGTAATGGAGGAACATCCAATCCACAACCAGCTGGTGTGCGGCAAAGGAGGGGAACAGTTTGGAGTCTTGATTAAACAATGCATTTTCTTCTCATGAAAATAGGTGGTACATGATCTAAGGGAAAGGTCAACGATTCCTCTTCTTTGGGTTGTTTTTATGGGTAAGAGTGGCTGTCAGAAATGGATGGAATCAAGGGGCTGTCCGTAAGATGTGAAGATGCCAGTGTGATTGGATCTTGTTAAAAAAAAGAGAGAGAGAAATTCATGGTTTCACTCTGTGGAAGGTTTTCTATGGCCTCCTTTTGGGAAGTTTTTTTTTACTACTCCCTAAAAATATTTTCCAAAAGAAGTCCTTGGGGGTATCTTGGAGGTCTTATCTCTAAGGACTAACCAAATCTTACTCAGCCTACATCATATAGACGCTGTCACTTTGATTACTTATAATCGAAGGGATATAAGTAATGTATTGTCGAAGGCTTTCATGGCCGGCATACGATGGCTGGTGTGGGTCTTCCGGGCT